TATATATATATATATATATGACATATGTAGGAGTGAAATGGAAAAGTCTAAGATTTGTTTTAAGTTTTTAGGGAGGAGCTGAAGAGATGATGTGGTAGTTAAGAGCACTGCCTGCTTTTGCAGAGGTCCTGGTTCAGTTTCCAGCACGGACAAGGTGGCTACCAACCATCCCTAACTTCAGTTCCAGGGATCTGGTGCCCTCTTCTGGAGTCTGCATGTATTGCATGAGACGGGTGCACTTACTTACATGCAGGTAAAACACTCCTATACATAAAATAAAAATAAGTAAGTATGGCCGGATCTTTGTGAGTTCGAGGCCAGCCTGGTCTACACAGTGAGTTCCAGGACAGCTGGGGCTACAAGGAGACCCTGTCTCAAAAAAACAAAAATAAATAAAAATAAATATAAAAGATTGGTGATAACTTGAAAACTGTTGAATCTGGGGTGAATATTTGGGGATTAGGCTATCTGCTTTTAATCCATGAAATTTTCCATAAAATAGTTTATAAAATATATTTACTGCTTAATTTGTGCCCAAAGACATAGTCCTTTTCACTTATATATCAGATAGAGGGGATGGTTTGTAAGTCAGGTTTTCTCTCTCTCTCTCTCTCTCTCTCTCTCTCTCTCTCTCTCAGGTCTTACTTCTTACTAGGCTGTCCTAGCTGAGGTGGAACTCACTATATAGATTAGGCTGTCCTCAATCTCACAATGCTGGGATTAATGCTGGGATTAATGGTGAGTGCCATCATGCCTCGGCATCATGCTCTCATTTTAATAAACAAATTTCTCTCAGTGAGGAATAAGTTGTCTGGTTGGTATCTGTCATGTGTTTAAAAAAGTCACACTGCTAATTTGAGGTCCATAGCAGAGTACCCTATCCTGGTGACTCCTGGGAAAAACTGCTCCAGGCATGTGTCTCATGATGTTAATCTTACTTGAGCATTCACATTCCCTCCCCCCCACCATCTCTCAGCCTTTTTGAGACAGGGTCTCCCTATAGCCCCAGCTGGCCTGGAACTGCTATATAGGCCAGGTTGGCCTTGAACTCAGAGATCTGCCTGCCTCTGCCTCCCAAGTGCTGTGATTAAAGGCGTGCACCACCACGCCCATGATAACTTTTTTTTTAATTGGATTTTTTATGTATTTCACACAGAACATCTATGTGAGTGTACATTCTATTAAAGAGCAAACTAGAAAAAAATATTAGGGGAAGAAAAATATTGAAAATCCAAAAGGAAATTGGTAGAGAGCAAGTAACAGAATAACAAACAAATAACAGAGCGAAAAAGAAGAAAAACAATGAGGGAGAAGAGTGCATAGCAACAAAAAGAAAAAGGCACAAGTAAGAAATACCAATATTTGTTTTGTCCTATGATCTTGTTGCAAATATATCTTTGGAAGTATTATGTATTTATTTAATTTACTTATTTCTCATTACGAGTCAGATGAAGATGAAGTTTTCTTACCTTGACGAAGGTAGTAAATCACTAGGTTTAGCCTCGCTTCAGGAATAACATCAACCAGAGGAGGCAAAACCTGCAAAGCCCCTTCGCCTCCTCGGAAAACCACCTACATATGGAGAAACAGTGTTATTGTGGCATTAAGTGTGCACACATTGAGCAGTGGAAATGCTAAGCAGCTGCCAGGTGTAACTTCGTTCATGATAGCCAACATGCTAGGACTTTATTGTTGACTGAATTTCATTATGACCTACATTCATCTATATGCTTACTCTTGCTGCTTTTCCTTCTTTGTTTTTGGTTGTTCGTAACAGTCCTATCATATTTAAGCATTTTCTTTGCATCCTCCTAAACCCTATCTCCACCATCACCAGGCTTTCTCCTCGTTTTTATTCATAGAGACTCACTTCGTTTTGCCATGCTTCTTCATTCATCTGTGGATGTTATACTTACCAAAATACAAGCTCCATATAAAAAGGAATTTGCACTTACTGTGTGGTATCAGCCTCTACAGTTTTGACTGATATAGTTATCACTTGGTTATTTTTTTTATTTTAGTTACATTTATTTAGTTAGTTCTTGGGGGGGCGGTGTGAGCATGTGCGTATGCCATGGTGCACGAATAGAGGTCAGAAGACAACTTGTAGGGATCTGTTTTCTCCTTCCACTATGTGGGTCTGTCCTAGTTTGTTTCTTCATTGCTGTGACAAAACACTCTGACCAATACCAACTTGGGGAGGAAAAGGTTTATTCTGCTTACACCTCCCAGGTTACAGTTCATCAGGGAGGCCAAGGTAGGAACTCAGGGCAGGAACCTGGAGGCAGGAGCTAGAGCACAGACCATGGAGGAACGCTGCTTACTGGCTTGATCCCCTGGCCCCTGCACAGCGTGCTTTCTTATGCAACACAGGCCCACCAGCCCAGGGGTGGCACCACCCACAGTGGGCTGGGCCCTCCCACATCATTCAACAATCAAGAAGGTGCCCCATGGACATGGCCACAGGCCAGTCCAATGAAGGAAA